AACAAGGGGTCCCCTGTAGATGTCTGGTTTGACCTCCACATGAGGCTCCATCTGAACCACCACCATTTGGAGTTTGTTGACCTTTATTGGTTAGTTGTCCTTAATGATGGTGGATATCCCAGATGAGCCCCCATAAATGTTGCAGTATTTTTTTCTCCATTGGTGCCTGTAGTTCTTGGTCATGCCACTTTAAAGAATGAAGAGATAGACCAGACAGAGTGGTGAGCAGCAAAGAAAGGTTTATTGAGCAATAGCAAAGTGATAGTACAAAGTTCCCAAGGAGGGAGGGGACCCGAAGGGGTTGCCCTCAATCACTTTTCTTTATGCCTTCAAAGAACAAATGGAATTTGAAAATAAAAACACAATACCACTTACATTAGCAACCCCCAAAATGACATACTTAAGTATAAATCTAACAAAATATGTACAAGATCTAAATGAGGAAAACTACAAAAGTGGTGAACAAAACAAAGAATTAAATAAATGGAGAGATAGTCCATGTTCATGAATAGGAGGACTCTATATTGTTAGGATGTTAGTTCTTCTACTTGATCTATAGATTCAATGCAATCTCAATCAAAATCCCAGCAAATCTTTTATGGATATCAACAAATTGATTCTAAGTTTATAGAGAGGCAAAAGACCCAGAATAGCCAATATGATATTGAAAGAGAAGAACAGAGTTGGAGGATTGTTGCTACCTGACTTCAAGACTTATTATAAAGCTGGAGTAATTAAGACAGAGTGGTATTGGTGAAAGAACAAATAGATCAATGAAACAGAATAAAGAGCCCAGAAATAGACCCACATAAATATAGTCAATTGATCTTTGAAAAAGGAGCAAAGGCAATACAATGGAGCAAAAGTAGTATTTTCAATAAACAGTCCTGGAACAAGTGGACACCCACAGAAAAACAAATCTAGACACAGACATTACACCCTTTACAAAAAGCTAACTCAAAATAGATCATCTACCTAAATGCAAAATGTAAAACTATAAAACTCTTAGAAGATATCATAGGAGAAAATCTAGATAATCTTGAATTTGGTGATGACTTTTTAGTCACAGTCCATAAAAGAAATAATTAATAAGCTGGACTTCAGTAAAATTAAAAACTTCTGCTCTGCAAAAAACAATATCAAGAGAATTAGAAAACAAGCCACAGACTAGGAGAAAAATATTTGCAAAACATACATCTGATAAAGAACTGTTATTCAAAATATACAAAGAACCCTTAAAACTCAACAATAAGAAAACAATCTGATTAAAACATGGGTTGAAGACCTTAACAGACATTTCACCAAAGAACATAGCAAATAAGCATGTGAAGGTTCTCCACATCATATATAATCAGGGAAATGCAAATTAAAACAATAATGAGACACCACTACACACCTATTGGAATGGTCAAAATCCAGAACACTGACAACATCAAATGCTAGTAAGGATGTGGAGCAACAGGAACTTTCATTTATTGTTGTGGGAATGTAAAATGGTAGAGTCACTTTGGAAGACTGTCAGTTTCTTACAAAACTAAACTGGGGTGCCTGGGTGGCTCAGTCAGTTAAGTGTCTGCCTTTGGCTCAGGTCATGATCTCAGAGTCCTGGGATCGAGCTCCGTGTCGGGCTCCCCATTCGGCGGGGAGTCTGTTTCTCCCTCTCCCTCTGCTCCCCACCACCCTTCATGCTCTCTCTCTCAAATAAATAAATAAAATCTTTTTTAAAAAAACTAAACATAGTCTTACCATATGATCCAACAATTATGCTCTTTGGTATTTCCCCAAAGAAACTGAAAACTCATGCCCACACAAAAACCTATATATGGATGTTTATAGCAGCTTTATTCATAATTGCCCAAGCTGAGAAGCAAACTGTCTTTCAGTAGGTGAATGAATAGATGAGTATATCCAGACAATGGACTCATGGTTTTGTGTACACGTAGTTATAAATATGAGTAGAGACACAAATAGAGAGATCCTAGACAAGAAGATGTAGATACAGATTGTACTTTTGTACAATCTGCATAGATGCAGTGATACTCCAGAAGTAATTACAACACCAATACCCACTAAATGGAATCAGGGCTCCTTGGAGAAATGGCTGATTCCAGAGTTAGCACAGGGAGAGTATAAGATCAGCCTAAACATTTTTTATGTCAAAAAGTAAGGAGGTGCTCTAAAAACGATGAGGATATGTCAAAGGACACAAGAATCTACTTAAAGGAGCTCCCACAGGCCAAATCTGGGGCAATTTGAGTACCAAAATAAGTAACAATTATAGTATATTTTAATTCATTAGAATAAAAAGAATCCTTGAGTCTATACAAATAACAAACAAACACACAAGGGAAAACTTTTCCTTACAGTAGAATGCTAGTAAACGTAGAAGGAGTAATGGCAGTTTAAGAAATCACCTTTTTGCCACTATCATAGTAAAAATTTAATCAGCAAGAATTATTAATGTAGGTAGGGGTGCTTGGGTGGCTCAGTCGATTCAGCGTCGTCCTTTGGTTCAGGTCATGATCCCGGGGTCCTGGGATCGAGTCCTGCATCGGGCTCCCTGCTCCGTGAGGAGCCTGCTTCTCCTCTCTGCCTGCCGCTCCCCCTTCTTGTGCTTTCTCTCTATCAATAAATAAGTAAAATCTTAAAAAAAAAAATTATTAAAGTATACTAAAGAAATGGGTGATTTAATGAAAACCAGGGAGTTTATAGGGTCTCAAATATCCCCCACAAATAACTTATAAATTATAAAGGGGAAAATACTATCTTTACAGAAGGAAAGCCAGGTGAACACCACCTTAACTAACTGATCAAATTTGGCATCAGGAACAATGGCATAATTGAACAACATCTTGTGCTTCCTGATATGAAGCACTGAGAACACACCATCCCTGATGTAGTGTTCCTGCCAAAAATGCAAAACATTGATCCAATTATGAGGAAATGTCAGAAAACCCAGTTTGAGGGACAGTCTAAAAGATAAATGACCTGGACTCATCAAAAATGTCAACATTATCTGGTAAAGGCTGAGGAACAATTGTACATTATAAGAGACCAAAGTGAAAAGAAAGCAATGCCATGAACAATTCTGTTTTGGATCCCAGAAAATATTATCAAGGACATTACTGAAAATATGAGAAAACTTGAATTAGACCTATAAATCAAATAATGTTATTGTACAAACATTAAACTCCCCGACTACAGCTGTATGAGTTAATGTTATTGTACCAACTTTAAACACCCCCAACTACAGCTGTATTTCTTAAGAAAAACGCATTGAAGTTTTGGGGGTCAATGGGTATGATGACTCTCAGAAAGTTTAGGGAAAAAAATGAGGATATTAACAATTGGTAAAGCTGGATGAAGCTTATACAAGAGTTCTTTATACCATTCTTGCAACCTTTCTGTATCTTGGAAATTCTTTCTAAATAAATAATTTTTAAATGCAACTAACATTATTGTCTACATTTTCAGATTTAAGAAAAATAAAACAAACTCATCAAACTCATTGTAAAAAAAATGGACTACATACTTAAAGTTGTAAAGTAACAATTTCAAGACCCTTGTAATTCCAGGACTTGCCAAATAACTGGTGTCTTTCCTTCAAAATGATTTCACACATATGTATTTCTTTTTAATAAGATAACAATTATGCATAAGGAAAGTGTATCACACAATCTCTAAGCAAAAAAAACTAACTTTAATTTTTCTCTGACTGAAATTTGTATTTCTATGTTGAGCACGCATTTGACCTGATAATAGAAAACAATTCAGTTACTTTCAGAGAAATGCAGAAGCAATGAGGACATTCAGAGTTAAATTCAGTTCAGGGGTGTAACCATCCTTCATTTGTCTCCCCATTGTGGAGTCTAAATTCAGGTGATCTTATCTAATTTCCAGGCTATGATGGGACAGAGGAACCTGAATTGGAGGAATTCTATTTATATTCAAGGTATTAATGTTTCTGCCATGTAACCGGAAATAGTTTTCAATTTGTGTTTGCACTTTTCACTGCACAATTTTTAAAGCTAAATCTTACAAGTGAAGAAAATATGTAAAAAAAAAAAAAAAAAAAACAACCCAGTGGCATTGAAACTAACATTTCAATTAGTTGTAATTAATGACCATACTTCAATTGACCTCCTAATAGAAATAGTTTATTTCTTTTTAAGCCATGACTTTTTTTTATGTCACAGGATTTTTCATCACTAGCAAAGCTTTTGTGCCCTGGATGAACTGGTCTTTTTATCAGAGAATCATCTGGAAGTTTATTGGAGCCAAATCTAGCCCTCCCTGTTTTGTGTTTTTTTTTTGTTTTTTGTTTTTTGGTAAATAAAGTTTTATTTGAACACAGCCACTCCAATTTCTTTTACATATTATCTATGACTACTTTCTTGATGTAATGGCAGAGCTGAGTAGTTGCAATAGGGACCGTGTGGCCTAGGACATTTTATCATTTGCCCCTAAAACATGATAGCATGCTATTTTTCCTAGTTCTCTGCTTAACAATAGACATACATTCAATCTGTAGATGTACTTCTTTCTTCATAGTATTGGAATAGCATTCCACTCCATTGTTTGTTTAAACAAATTCCAAAATTGGTTCAACCAGTCTTTTAGGTTGTTTTCTGGTCTTTCCTACCGTAAAAGATTTGTTGACACAGTTTTTACAAGTGAAATTACCGAATGAGGTAATGTGCTTCTTTTAATATTGTCTAATTGTCAAATGTAACACTCCTTGGTATAATGTTCACCAAAGTGACTCTTCTCTTGCTCTCCCTTCTGTTTAGTTAATGCTGGGCAGAAAAATACAGCCCAAGATTATAAATGAGATAATAAATATAATAAGGTAGATCTCATACAGCACAATCTCTGTGCAAAAAAAAAAAAAAAAAAGTGACTTCAAAATAAAGTTCACACTTATAGAGATGAAAAAGAGAGAAGGAAATGATGAAATTATGCCACGTGGCTTTTTAAAGAAAAATTGAAAACTTTATTTTGTGATTATTTAACAGGAAAAAATCATTTACGTTCTGCCAGAATTCATTTATATATTAAGTTAAATAATGGTTTCAAATGTGGGTAGATATGTCTTGAGTTGCAAAATTTCAGAGACAGGCTGTGCTTTTTCCTGGTAAAAGTCCAGTCCAGTAAGAAGTTCCACATCGCGGACCCGAGCGATGTGGGCTTGCCATCTTTCTTTAATCCAAACAGCTTTTGGTTTATCTCCCTGTAAAAGAGCAGCAAAAGACTGTTTTTCACAGGGCATTATTTTTCATTAACAAAAGATCTTTTATGATTTAGAAGTTTTCCTTTTTCCTGGGGCTTTTCTTGCCTTAAATCTTAATTTGATATAGCTACATTTTGTTGTTTCCTAAAATAAAGGGAAAACAAAAGTACAAAGTATACTAGAACAAATACAGACCACCAAAGTCATAAAGTTTAGCTATTTTAATATTTACTTCAGATAGAAAAGAAATAGGATCTTACAGATGAAGCTAAATCCCCAATGTCCTTCTACTCAGCACCAATCATCATCATGAGTTCATGGAATCCACTCTGTGTTTTTAAACTTTTAATGCACATCAATATACAATACCCAGTATTGACTTGAGTTTTCAAACTTAGGTAAGTGGTATTGTAAGTGGTATTCTATAATTACTTTCCCAATCAGCATTATGTTTGCAATCCATCCATAGTGATATGCCCAGCGCTAGTTAAATCACTGGTTTTTAGCTGTGGTTTATGGTGGCAGTTTCTTTTTTCATTGCCGTATTCATAGTATTTTTGGCATGATAAATAATACTGTAACGAACAACTTGGCACATGCCTTCTGTAGTCAAGAATATGAGTCTCTAAGATCTATGAATGGACTTGCTGGATCATAGAGTACAGGCAGCTTTAATTTTTCCAGATGTTAAACCTTGCACTCCTCAAGGTGTTCATACCAATTGACACTTACATTGGCAGTGGAGCATAAGACCTATTTCCCCACATCCTTGCCAAATCACAGTGTGAAATAGTGTTCCATCCCTGTTTGATTTTATTACCCTGAGTATCATTATAGTTGAACATCTTTTCAGACATTTCTTGGCCATCTGACTTTTAACAGGTTTTTTACTATATAAAAGTTAATTCGATTTTAGTTAGAGCCATGGATAGCTACATAATTTCTTATTATTTATACAGCAATCTTCTGATATTCATATGGTATTGTTAATTTTCATTTAGATTTTTTTAAAAAGTAAGAAAATGTAAAAGTTTGTTAAATTAGAAGACTGTGTTCCAATAACTGTCATTTGATTTATGATGTACTATATTCTGGCTAACTGAACATGAAAAAAACCCGTCATTTGACTTCAGTGTGGTAGTTTACTTGTTTTTTAAATATGCAGCTTTAAAATAGGCAGCTATTATTTGAGCTAGAGGAAGCGTAAGAGGAAACTACTTCTTGTCTCTAACCCCCTAAGTACCTCTATCCTCCTAAGGGCTAATGATGTATGTTAATTTTTAAAAATAAATATGCAGTGTATTAATTTGAGTTCATATACCCAACGGGAATCTAATTAATTATTTTTCCCTGCCTTTACTACTTCCCATTTCAGCAGTATTTAACGTTTTTTATCACGTTTTTTCATAAAGTTCTCCCCCACTTGATTTATATTGCTCTGCTCTCTCATGGCTTGTTTAGTGTCTCACCAACTAAATGTTTACTCAACACCTGACTGGGTCTACCCTCTTTTAAAATTGCAATTCAATGAACCTAAAGCACAACACACAACTATCTTGGCAGGGGTACTACTCAATACCAGCTAGTCCACCTGCACCAACCAACCCGAACAGACGCTAGCCATAGACAACTCTCACTGTACGAGTGCATCCCATCAGGAGAGCAGCCTTGCATACATACAGTTCTTATGAGCTGTATTTAAATACCATCGACCCTTGAACAACGCAGGCTTGAACTGTGAGGATCCATGTATATGCAGATTTGTTTCAATAAATACGGTACAGAACTGCCATGGTCTTTTCCTTATGATTTTCTTAATAACATTTTCTTTTCTCTAGCTTACTTTATTGTAAGAATACAGTATATGATACACAGAAAATATGTGGTAATCAGCTGTTTATGGTATTGTAAGGCTTTCAGTTGAGAGTGGGCTACTAGCAGTTAGGTTTTTTTTTTTTTTTAAAGATTTTATTCATTTATTTGAGAGAGAATGAGATAGAGAGAGCATGAGAGGGGGGAGGGTCAGCGGGAGAAGCAGACTCCCCGCCGAGCAGGGAGCCCGATGCGGGACTCGATCCCGGGACTCCAGGATCATGACCTGAGCCAAAGGCAGTCGCTTAACCAACCGAGCCACCCAGGCGCCCCTAGCAGTTAGGTTTTGAGAGAGTGAAAAGTTATACATGAATTTTCAACTGGGTGGGGGGTAGCATCCCCAACCCCCATATTGTTCAAGAGTCAACTGTGTATGTGTTAGAAGTATTATATACCCCTAAAATACAACTCGCTTTGTTAGGTTTCTGAGGCAATATCAGTTTCAGTACTTTTCCACCCTAACTACTTCTTTATTTTCTCCCCTTGACTACATACAGTCTGGTTATTGCTGCTACCACACTCATGAAATCGCTTTGGCAAGGATAACCTGAGTGGATTTTTTTTTTTTTTTTTTTTAGATCTTTCACTTAGTTGATCACCCCAAGCTTCTAAAATTCCCTCTTTTTTCTAACTGCTTACTTGTTCAGTGACACTTTCTGTTTCCTCAACCGATTCTAGTGTTTTCCGTCCTGGAAGTATAGACATTTCCCTCAGTTTGACCTTTGGATCTCTTCTTTCCACTTTCTTCCCTTTGGCAACTTTATTTCACTCCCATAATTTAATACCAAATCTGTCTCTACAGTTCCGATTTCTTTTCCAAGTTCCAGACCTGTATTTTCCAGTATCTTCTGAACAAGCTACAATAATGATTGCCACTTGGACTCATGACAACATTCTCTTTTCTCTGACAGGAATTGAACAATACAAAGGTGAGGGAAAAAAAGAAAAAGAAAAAGAAGGGCAGAAAATATGGAAAGAACAGGGAAGGAAAAAAATAAACAAGGCTATATGAATCTAGTTTCCTAGACCAAGTGTGAGGTGGAATTGTGAATCTATCATTTGTGTGAATGATAGATTTGTCAGTTCCTTCAGATCTCTTACAGTGGGGGTACCTCCCCGCACGCACTGAGTGATGAGAATATTTAAAAGTGCAGTTTCCATAGAACGTGCCCCTTAAAGCAAGCCAACTATTTCACTGGGTGCCTTTTCTAATGCTAGGGGGAATATTGGCTGATTTAGACTTATTAAGGTGCAGTTTGTGTGTATATATATATATATATACTGTACTTATTGGGTGATTTGATTAAAGAGGATTTTATTTGTATACAATCTCATTTTATGTTGACTGTAGAATGTGTTAACTCCCACACAAGACATGATTTCTTTAAAATGGCCACCATTTGCTTACTATGTATTGAGAATTCTTAGGATTTTATATGAAATAACTTATCTAATGCTCACAGCAATTTTATGAGGGAAGATGAATTTTTGTATACAGCTGAGGAGATTGACATTCAATTACTTACCCAAGGAGGTGATGTCAATAACTGAACACAGGATGTCCAATTCCAAAATCCATGTGTGTAAGATCTATTCTATACTGCTTCTCATATTATCCTCCTAGATATTCAACTAGTTTCTCAATTTGAAGACCACCAAGAGAAAATTCATCCTTCCCAAAACAACTGATTGTCTCATATATTTTTAGCAGATGGAAAAGAAGGGCATTCGAGTAAAGAAAAGCATGAGCGATGATGTTGAGATAGGGAAACTCAAGATGCATCAAGTAGTTTCAAGGACTTCAGTGGGTCTACAACTTGGGGTTGTGAGGTCAACTGAAGGTAAACTGTGAAGAGCCTTAAGTACAGGCTAGGAGGCAAGAAAGGTCTAGACCAGGGATAGCCAATAGTTTCTTCTTTGCATACCCATTTTAATCAATCCATAGTAGCTACCTAGAACCTGCTATAAAGAACTACTTAATTCTGATTCAGTGGTAACCAGCACCACAGTGTATTAGTCACGACTTCTGCCACTGGAAGAATAAGTCAAGAATGATGGCTTACCCTTTTCTGGAAAACCTTGCCCACTCTAGGACTCTGGGAGAGTCACTGCTTAGCCTCTTATCTTTGCCCTCCATCTTTAGTCATTGAAAGACCATTCGAACATTCAAGTTCAAATCTTATCTTCAAGACCAAGTTAGAATGTCGCCTTCCCTACTAAGAAATATTTCTCTTTTGAAAACCTAAAGCAATTTTATCTATCCCTCTTTGTGCCACTTATCTCTTCCTTCTTCTATTGTACTAGCCATCGAAGGGCTAGACTGTGAGCCCCTTTTGATAAAATTCATGTCTAATTTATCGGTGTATCTCCCATAATACATAGTATGGTGAAGGCAGTTATGTGTTGAACAACTGAAAGAATAGAGATGAATTCCCAATCTGGCCTAGAACCTAAGCTTTAATATCCAGTCTCTACTAGCCTATGGGATTTTCCATGTGAACACCCATTTCTATAAAGGACATGCCTAAACTTAAATATCTTATCTACCTGCCAAAATAATTCTCATTCCTAACTTCCCTCTCTCTGTTTTTTTCCTAATTACCTACATTTAAAATCTTGATTCATCTTCATGTCTCCCTTTTTCTTTGGCTGTTGCATCCAGTTACCAAATCTTTTCTCCTTTGAAGATTCTTCTCAATCCTCTCAATTTGTTCAAATTCTGCCCATTTTCAGGGCCCAGGCCTACTCTCTCCTCATTTTATATAACTCTCTTTTATTGATTATTCCAGCCAAATGTGTTTCAAATTTGAAACACTAAATCCTTACTTATTTAGCAATTAATCCAACTTTGGATTTAGCAATTAAAGCAACTTTGTGACATCTCTTATTTTTTAAAAATAATTTTTATGTTATCAACTGAACGATCTATGTGTCTATATTTCATTTATATACCTCATTTATATCTCAAAGTTATATATGAACTCCTTGAGGGCAGAGACAATGTATTCCTCGTTGGTGTATTCTAAAAAGTTTCTTTCACAGTACTATGCACTTAATAGGTACTCAATATATTTGTTGACTAACTAGTAAAACCCAATTACAAGAATACATATTTTTCCTATAAAAAATATATGCAAGTTTAAGTAACTATTTACATACAATTTCCCTTGATCCAGAAGGATGTTGAAGTAGACTAACACACGATGTTAGTGTTAAAAAAAAAAGTGTTATTTTAACTCACTGTGTGTATGTAATTAATATCAGACCTCATGTTTCAAGCTGATGGAGTTTTTATATTTACATATTCATTCAGAAAACATTAACTGAGGGCCAACTTTGGCACAGCACCCTCAAGTTTCTGTGTTAAGAATCAAAATATTAATAAGATATCACCCCTTCCTTTATGAGTGTGAATAAAACGTATATGAATAAAATACATAAGATATGCATATAAAGGGCGCCTGGGTGGCTCAGTTGGTTAAGCGACTGCCTTCGGCTCAGGTCATGATCCTGGAGTCCCGGGATCGAGT